GCCCAGTATCGTGTATTTATATTTCTATATTAACTTTGAAACTCTCTATTATTCTTTATATATATATATATATATATATATATATATATATATATATATATAAAATTTTAACAGTTTTATATCTGACCATTATTATCACAGGTAGAGTGCTGAAGGTCACTTTTCTGACCACAAAGTGAGCCAGTAAAATGAAGTCATTAGCAACAGGTTTACAGCCAAGTTTTAATTTCAGAGAATATTGTTTTTGTTTTTTAGTGAACCCTGTGGTATGCCACTTCTGACTAGAATGATATCGTAATTTAATCACCTTCCAATATTGATCTGCACTCTACCTTTAAAAGCTTTGCTTGAGTAATTTTGATGATTGAAATGTTAAATAAGTCCACATGGATTTCTTTTAGATATATATATTTTCTTTTTGAGATTATTTTTACTAAAGTTTCACTTTATTCTGCTCTTTTCCCTTGTCTAGTGAGACCAAAGTGCCAGCATTGCACGAAACATGAGAAATCCTACAAGGGACACTGCTACTATATTTATCCATATGACCTAGGTTATGCAAACTGGGACCGAAGTCGACAGTTGTGTAAGATCGAAGGTGGAGACTTGGTTGTAATTGATGATCTGGAGGAGCAGGTAAAACAAAACACCACCTCTTCTCTTGAAGTTTAAAGCTAATCTGCAAGTTTCTGGAAGATGAATGGCTTGACAATACTGTATCACATGTACTAATTGAATCAGCGCCTCTGAATTACAATGCTTTAAGTGAGAATAGAAAACAAAGAGGAGGCGTTGCTTCAATGCATAAGAACTTCTTAAATATATATTTTTAGGTCATTTTAACTCTTGAATGTCTGGCAATTGAGGTACAAGGCCATAAATGATCTCTGATACTAACTGTGTACAAAACCCCAATGTGTGGAAAACCTCTTTGACTTTAATGAGCTTTTGTCTCTTATATACACCAATTATGACTGTTTAATAATTGTGGGAGATTTTATCATCCATGTTGACAAGCCCAAAGACAGAGAGGCAAAAAATTGTGATATTCTTGATCATTTTGGTCCAATTCAGCATGTTAAACAATCAGCACACAATCTAGGACACGCACTGATAATCGGGAAGGGTGTGAATATTTCCAGTGTCTCTGTAACTGATGTCGCCCTGTCGGATCATTTCGCTGTTATGTTTTAAAATACTTTCTCCACTGACTCACTTAGTAAAATGGCCACATCACAAAATGTTCTTTCACAGACGACACAGCAGAAACCTTTAATCAATTATAGTTCATCTCGACTTTATGTAACCATGACGATGAGTTGGTAGATAACTTCCATTCTAAAATTTCAGATATAATTGATTTTATTGCACCCACTAAAGTGAAGGTCTGGTAGGAACAAGTCTCCATGGAGACATGCAAGATATCTTTGTTTCAATAGGTAACATATCAACGAAGTGGATCAAAATCATGTGGGGTACCCCAAGGTTCAATCCTAGGACCCCTCTCATGATGCGTTCACACTAAACACGTTTTGAGCATCAGGTGCGCCTGGTTTACATTTAAAGCCAATGTGGAGCATCGGACGTGTTGAACACACTTGACGTGTCAAACACTCAAAACGCTCCAAACGGATCAAATTGCACTTTGTTAGGTGCTCTAATTGCACCTCAATAGCCCTCCACGTGCCTCCACATAGACTTTGAATGTAAACCAGACATGCCTCACACTCAACACGCATTTGGTGTGAATGTACCATCATTCAATATCTACATGCTCCCACTAGCTCAGGTTATAACAGGAAATAAGATTAGCTGCCACAACTACACAGATGATACACAGCTCTACATCACGATGTCACCCGGTGACTCTGAACCCATCCAATCACTGAACAGATGCTTAGAACAGATGAATGTGTGGATGTGCAATCTAGAGTCAAAGCACAGCTTTAGCTATTACAGCAAGAAACCAGCAACCAGGCCCAAAATCTGGGTGTTGTGATGAACTCTGGCCTGAACCTCCAGAACTACTTAAAAACAGTTACACAATCTGCCTTCTATCACTTGAAGAACATGTTCAGGGTAAAAGGACTAATGTCCCAGCAAGATCTAGAGAAACTCACCATGTGTTTATCTTTAGTCACATTGATTAATGCAACAGTGTATTTATAGGTTGGCCTAAAAATTAATCCTCAACATTATGATGTTGATTGTTTCAAAACTTGAGAAAATGTAATGCTTCAGTTTTTACTTGTGTGTTCTATGACTTCATATTTTTGTGTATTTTGATATAAAACACTTTGAACTGCCTTGTTGCTGAAATGTGTTACGAATAAACTTGATTGATTGATAGCTCGAAGTAAATATTTATGACAGTCTAAAATAAAATCTGTTCACAGGAATTTATCAACAATCACACCAAAAAATACGATTCTGATAACCGTGGATACTGGATAGGGTTACATCATTTTCGACGCAATTGGTCCTGGGTCGATGGACGTAGGAACTTTCTTGAGTAAGAACTATTATCTAAAAATATGTACATTTGAAGCTGCACTATGTAACTTTTATAGAAAATATCTTTTTACATATTTGTTGAAGCTGTTACATGTCCTAACAGTATGGTATTAGATAAATAATACATGAAAATATTGGGCTCCTCTGCCTTCTCCCAGTGCTTGAGTGCTAACTAGAAACAACCAATCAGAGCCCAGAGGCGGGTCTTATTGCTGTCAATCACAATCTAGCGTGGCGACGCTCGTCCCCTTTATAAATTTTATAAAATGTTGTCACACAGATGTCACCATGTTGTGAACGCTGCTATGCATTCTGGGTAAATGATGTCCAAATGTGCTAGCTCTGTCCAGCCAAAACAGTGATGAGTATTGTCATTGAACGAGTTGAAGTCAATGGGAATATAGAAATCACAAGAGGTAATGAAGATGAGCAGAACCAAACAGAGGAAGAGGACAGAGTTGGGTAGGAGCTGCTGGTGTTTTGCTGCTGCTTTCAGCTTCATAAATGAAAAAATGAATGGCACTTACCTCTGGTCAGACTGTGTGATCTAGGAAGTACTTCTGTAGCTCTGTGTCCGGTCCGGTAACAGCTGTTTTGGGTCCGGGCTTCTTATGGTCATATTGGTGGTTTCATATTCAGTATCAGCAGCAGTATAGCTCTGTTAGCATTTCAGTTAGTAATAGCTCCGTTAGCACTGCTTGTCTTTGATGTTTCTCCCACTGTCTGTAGCTCTGTGTCGGCCGATAACAGCTGCTCGGGGTCCGGTGTCGGTCCAGTCTAATCGGTGGTTTAATATTCAGTACTGGTGGCAGTATAGCTATGTTAGCATTTCAAAGAGCTTCCAGCTCAGCCTATCTAAGCACAACATTTATTTTTAGCTTGCGAAGGTAACGATCACCTGTTAGAGCCTTTGTCAGTTTTGCTCATATAAATGACTCAAAGTCTTCTGGAGAAAAATGTTAAGAGCACAAATGTAGGTCATTTGGAAGTTGTGTTCAGGTCCAGCTCTCTCCCTTTGCGCTCTTCTTTTTTTTCATGTGGGAACTTACCCAGATTCACCACCTCACTGTTTGTTTTTTTAAATTACAGCCAATAGTGACACAGTGTGGCATTATCTAAAATTACACCAGTCAAATGCAATATGATAAACATCAACTCAGCTAAAGTTAGCCTTCCTGTGTTTACTGTGTTTATGATCTGTACTGCGGATTTCAGTACAGAACAGACTAAAATGCGTCATCAACCCATCAGGTGAAAAAATGGCCTGCATGGGTGAAAAATATAAAAAGATATACATTTTGAAGTTATGAGCTTTGGCTTATCACAAACAGCAATTTTTTAGTTAACAGGAAAATTACAACATATGTTGGCCAACATGTTCAACTAATCCTGGATCACTTTAAGTAAAAATGTAAATATATTTTCCACAAGCTGGAAGAAGAGTTAAATATACTGAGTGACAACAACACCAGGATCTCCCACCTTAGTGGACTGTGGCCTTCACCAATCCAAACGGGATTGGTGTAGGCCTTCATTGGTTAAGTCAGGGGTGGTCAAGATAAAACACCTGATTTGCAAAAAGTGAAAACTTCTGTTAAAAGGGATGAATCATTTTTAGGCTTTATGATTGAAAGTAAGACTTTATGTTGAATTTGAGTAAAATATTTTTGCTACATTGGGTTTATTTATTTTCTTTACTTTTTGTAGTGTCAGTTATTTCATTTATGGGGTTGAATAATTTAGATTAAACTGTAAAACAACACAGACAACTAGAGCTAAGAAAGTCCTTTCAAAAAAATGTTATCTTTAAAATCTGATCTTCCAAGTTTGTAAAACGGCTTTCATTTATTCGAGTCCAACTTCTTTTCAAGTGTGTCTTCATTCATATAGAGACAACAACGCATTTAGATGCTGACAGTTTTCAGTTTGATGTCAATAAGCTGCTGTACAATTTTTATGTTATAAATGTTCTGAGGTTCATGTTTCTGTCTTAAAGGTTCTGGATTAAGGGGATTCCCCATTCTTCAGGAGCAGCGCTGCATATGCCACGAAAAAAAGCCACAGAGAGCTGGAGGGCAGAAGACAAAATGGAAGCATACAAATTCATCTGTGAGCGTCTGGAGATTTCTTGGCCCTTTAGCTAACACTGTTCTCTTAAAGCATCACATTTTGGTGAATGTCATAAATAAAAACTCAATCTCTGAAAGCTAAGTTTTAAATTGCAATTGCTATAGTTCTTCTAACATGGCAATTGAGATTCTGTTCACAGTCACTTCTGTAGGTTTGTTTTCATCCACGGAAGCACTTCCCCCTCTGAGCGGTCCATTTATTGTCCATCCTAATCTGGTTCTCACACAGTAAGGTCCATTTCCGGCACGGTTAACTGTCTGCAGGTTCCGTTGCTTTGGGAAAGTTCGCTCCACAATAAGCAAGCCAACTTCCGCTTTGATAGTAGAAACCTTTATGTCTTCCAGATGTGGCCAGATGTTAACATCCTCCTGACAGGAAATATTCTCTTTTTTTTAGAACTTGAATTGTATAAATTTTTACAGAGCAATTACACAGTCATACATCAACAATAATTAACACAAGTTTTTCCATATGGCATTATGTGAAATAAATTGGTTACACATTTGCAGGTAATAAAACATTTTTTTTAAATAGGATGGTTTGATGTTAAAATATTGGCCTTTAACAATAAATTCCTGAGGTATGCTTGGGTTTTTGTTTTCTTTTAAAAGAAGAAAACACAGGGGGTATACTCTGTAATAGAGCAATAAGTGATCAAACTTAAAATCTTAAGCATTTCATATTCTATCTTGAAATTTAGACTGTGCATTTGAAAAACTCCTAAAACAACTCAAAAATATTTTAATCTTTGAGCAGTTATTTTATAAACAATAGGCTTTAGCTTGATTCCAAATGCATAATTCAATCATATCTTCCGGGGGAGAAGGAGAAAGCCGCCATACCAGGCCAGATTATAAGCGGCAAATGGGCTACCAAATTGGACTACGCAACAGTTGGAAGGAACGGTCCGCCATATTTTAGCTCAGGATCCAAATGCACACGGCAAATTTGGAAGTGTTAATTCAACTGGAGTTGAATTAACATATCTAAAGTGTCTATATTGGTCCACTCTTGATCGTGTTAAAGTAACACTTTTGAAAGTGTTACTTGTGATGGAGTTGAATCAACACTCAGTAGTTGAAATTTAACGCACATCAGTGTTGATTTACCTCACACTAGTGTGTGTGTGGTCAAACGTTAACACTATGGATGTGTTAATTTAACACAGAAGCGTTAAATATAGATTAACATAGAAATCTGAATCTTAAAATACTACTGGTAGAGTGTGCTGTGGTGACGCAAAGGTTTAGCACAACCCACATATGGAGGCCTTAGTTCTCAATGCGGCTGTCGCAGGTTCACTTCCCGGCCTGGCGACCTTTGCTGCATGTCTTCCCCTTCTCTCATTACCCATTTTATTGGCAATTCACTATCAAATAAAGGCCGTTAGAGCCAATAAAACCTTTAAAAATATATACTACTGGTAGTCAGTAATCCCCAAATTCACTTTAAAAATCATTAGATGTCACTTGAATATACAAAAACACCAACACAAGATGCAGTTTTAATCTACTTGTATTTCAAAACAAGAACAACATCAACCAGCACTGACAGCAACATACAGCAAAGGTCACACAGTATGACAATCTGCTGTTTTCTTTCCCACACATTTCACAAAACTGCTTGCCATAGCAACTGTAATAAACCAAGTCCTTAATTGGAAGAATATAAAATGAATCCTCTTATTGATTCAGTTTGCATTTAAATGATCATAGCAAAGAGTGTCCACTCTACAGGGCAAAATAAAAGCAGGGATATTCATCACTAAAGTGTCGTGCAAAAGTCCCATCAATGTTGAAAACTGCAGGTTGGATTAATGTACAGAAGTTGTAGAGGAATTCATGTTTGCACTGAAGGTGAAGTGTGCTTTGAAAGTTCATCAAAAGCTGCCATGGTGGTCAGGGATGGTGTGTCTCGCAGGTGTAATGATATTACACGTTTCCAGCCTTTCCTTTATGGCGAATGGAAGAGGGGCCTGTGTTTGGGCAGCCTCTCAGGTTTGACCTCGATGGTAGCTTTAATGTCTTTCAGTGTGCCCAACTCATCCTTGAGTACATCACTGTCCAAAAGCTCACTGAGTGATAGGTGTTTTGGCTCACCCACGTACTTAATCACACAGTGATGCACCCTGTGGCAAATCCACAGCTTGGTCTTCATACACCACTTTTGCTACAAGCTGTCCCAAAACACAAATATGTTCTCCACTGTAAGCGTTGAGCTTCACTTCAGCCGGCTGCAAAGGCAGGTGTGAAAACTTTTTCAAGTATGTAGGATGTGAAATGACACTTTTTGCTGCTCCTGTGTCAATTTCCATTTCCAAATCAACATTGTTTATTGCAAATGTTGCTTTATGTCGTTCATCATCCACAGGACTAACAGTCAAAATGGCTAACTCCTCTTCAGGTCCTTCCTCAGCTGCTCCTGTTTGGCACACTCTTTTCATGACTCTCCTCCACTTTAGCTCCACTTACTTTCCTAATGTGTCCAATCTTTCCAAAATTATGGCATTTAGTCTCTTTGAAATGACATTCATTTGCATTGTGAATTTTTTCCTTTGCATCTGTAGCACATATTTCCTTTCCATCGTCATATTTCTGACAATCTTATTTATTTTGCTCCAAGTGCCATTGATATTTATATTTAACCAATACATGATTGTAACAGAACAACCAGACTCAGAAATAGTTGCCTCCCCTCAGCCATCAGATTGCTCTTTAATCCCCCAACTATCTAAGACTGTCTGAAAATGTTTCTTTGCTTTTTCTTCCAGTGTGCTCTGGTGTCCAAGTGATTACGTTTTATTGCCAATTTCACTCTCATGTCTTTGTGCAAAGACAATAAAATAAGTCTAAGTTTATCTTACTTTTCCTGATAATATCTGTTTGTTTTTGTACCGTAATCCTTTCATTGTCCCCATCTATTCCTTTATGACAGGCTGTTCACACACCTTTAGTGATCCAGGGTTTATCCTGGCAGTTAGATATTTGTTGACCTTGTTGTAATGGACAAAATTTATAACACAATACAATAAAATTATTAAAGAAAAATCAGTTTTCTGACTGAAATTTTACTCTAATTCTGATGTTCATTTCACTCCTAAATTTGATTATATTGTTCTCCGTTCTTTTCTTTTTATATTTAACAATCATGAAATCTGTCCACGAATGACCTGGTGGCGATAACTGAAGCCACTCTAACTATAAGCTTTATCAAAACCTAAAGTTTTCTGCTAAATCATAATGATAATATAATAAATATATGTTCTCTTATTTCCACTTACATGTGGATATTGTTTTCATCCAACCACGAAGATTTAATAAATATGTGATCTGAATGTCTTTAGTTTTTAATTTTTACAGATTTTCTGCCTATGTTCCCATAAATCTGTCACATTTTGAAGCTCTTGCTGTCTTGTACTAAAGTGGAAATGATTGTATCTGAAGTTAAATCACTTCTGATTAATTTATTCGTTTGGTAATTTATAGTTCTTACCATAAAGATTAGTTTAGTTTTACCAGTTGTAGTTGTGTCAGCTAACGTGGCCACAAGAGGGAGCCATACACACACAGTCTGCTCTTTCTGCAGACCAGTTTTTAAGTAGAAGAAGTTTTGTCTGCCAAAGATCTTTTCACCTGGATATGTAAAATAACTGTAGACCTGTTTAGTTAGTTTTCTGTCAGTTTTATAAACTTTTATTCGTCACATCTGTTTCATTTGGATTTCACGATGCATTTCCCCTTGATCGTTTTAAGCAGCTTTAGGGCTAAATAAATTTGTTATTGTCTGATAAACTTTCATCCATCCATTTTTTCCCCTTTTTTAAGGGAGATTGATTGACTGTTCATTTAGTTTGTTTTATATTATATTATTTTATTTGTCTTTCATGATTAATTTTGTTTCCCATATTATCAGCTTTCATTTTTTTTGTTTATTTTAAAAAAATATTTACCGAAGTAAATCAATATCCATAAAAACGTTTGTTTAATATTTTTACTAAGTGTTTATTACTTGTGTCGCAGTGATGATGTGAAACCACTTTGAACTGCTGTTCTGTTTAAATGTGCAAAATAAAGTCAGTCTTTTTTTTAAATAGTAAAACTGCAATATTCCCTAAACAAAATGTGTTTTATTGTGAGCTTATTGTATTTTCATACTTTAATCGTTTTAGTGTCTCTTTAGACACTAAAGAGAGCAGAAACTCACATCTGTGAGTTTTACCCAATATTTGATGTTATTGTATTTTTTATCACAAGACTGTAAAACACGGAAATCCTTCTGTTGATGACGTCAGCAGGGGCAAACATTTATCAATCGGTCTCAAAAAAAAAAAAAATCCATACTAGATGACTTCAAGCTGAATGACGCGGTGACCGGAGTTCATTTGACGCTGCGCTGTAATTACCTGCAACGAGGACAAAAGGTGAGTCATGAGCAAAGTCCAGCTGACCAATCAGCGCTCAGGATCGACTCCAGGAAACGCAGTCGTTCTCCAGCACCTGGTCAGCCTGAAGTGGGACAAACAGCTGCTACACCTGAGACAACTTCTGGTTTTCTGATCGGGGCGCACAGCAGCGATGGTTTGCGGAGGATTCATTTGCACCAAGAATGCGCTTTCTGCGCTCAACGTCGTTTATGTTGTGAGTATCTGATGAAATTCTGGAGTTTATTTTTGGGAGGAGGTGAAAGACTGGAAAATGGCAACCGGGCTGATCGAGTGGTTTTACCTGCTGTTATTATTCCAAGAAGTCATAAAACCAGCAGCAGGTGGCCAGCGCTGTCTTCATGTTCCTGCTGCTTCTCATGTTTAGGATTAAAATCCTGTTTTTCTGGAGTGAGTGAAGCAGAGCAGGAAAAGCTCCTAGGAAACACTGAAGGTCGAGGAAATGCCTGGTTAATTAGGGTCTGTTTTTTCTCCCTGTTTTCATTCAAAAGAATAAAAACACCAGGTTCAACATCTGTGAGGATTTAGCTAAATAAGCTAATATTTATATACACACCTCTAAATGTCAGTTGAAACCTTTGAGTTGACAGAAAACCCATAACAGGCTCCACAGTGAAGTCTCTGCCCATCCTAGTGAGAGCAGTAGCTGTTTTAAATAAACACACTATGAAATTCAGACCAATCACACAATAGGTTTGCATGAACAGGGGCCACAAAGTTCAGGGAGGTTGTGACAAACAGCCAAAATTAAAATTTTCATTATGCAGCTGCACAATGAGAACCGAGTTCTGCAGTTGGGCTAACCCACGCAGAGTGCTTGTGTGATGGAGAGGGAACCTTGTGATGAGCCGACTGTCTCACTAGTTTGAGAGTTTTTTCTGTTTAACAGGGATAAAGTTGTACCAACATGTGATATTTGGTAACCATGACTGCTGTTGATTACAGGAGTCATGGTTACTGTTTCTGGTTATGTTAAAATATCTCAGCTTCCTGAGAAGATGGAGGCGCTGGAGGCTTTATTGTAAATAATTTCGGTGTCTGGTAAAGATGCCATGTGTCCATCTGTGTCTCCACCTGCTCAACCTGCTTTCCCTGTAGAACCAGAGGCTTAGAGCTGGGCTGTGGCTGCTCTCTGCCCAATCAGGACGCTCTCTGAACGCTGTGTTCACCCAGCAGGTCTGGATGCTCCAATCCAACTCTTTACTGAAATTAGACTTTTCTTTTTTTTCTATTTTTTTTTTTTTTTTTGGCCTTGTCTTTTTCATAGTTAAATCTGAATGCAGTCAGATTTCTGTGTGAATGACTTGCATCCCCAAAACCACCCGCATGTACAGAAGAAGCTCCTGAGAACCTGAGGGGTCTGGAAGGTTGATACAACAGCAGATGTTTAATGTATTGTGGTGCTAAGCTGTTCAGTGATTTATAAACTATCAGTGTTTTAAAGTCTCTTCTCTGAGCAACAGGGAGCCGGTGTAGGACTGTAGAACTGGGTGATGAGCTCCATCGTCCTGGTTTTAGTCAGAACTCCATCAGCAACGTTCTGGATCAGCTGCAGCTGGAGGATTGATTTGATCTTTTTTAGTCAGACCTGTAAAGATGCTGTTACATTAATCAATGTGACTAAAGATAAACACATGGATGAGTTTCTCTGATGCTGAGACATTAGTCCTCTGATCCTGAAAATGTTCCTCAGGTGATAAAAGGCCAACTTTGTAACTGTCTTTATGTGGCTCTGAAGGTTCATCACTACTCCCAGATTTCAGCCTGATTTCTGGTTTCCAGCTGTAATAACTGAAGCTGTGTGTGACTCTAGGTTGTTCCTCTTTAGGTCCAAAGACAATAACTTCAGTCTTGTTTCTGTTCAGCTGTTACAGTGACCTGTAGGTCAGATGAATCCAACTTATTTGTAAAGATCAAATGCATATCAGATTTAGGATCACATATTCAGCTGGCCTGGGTCACATTTGTAAAAATCTGATCTGTGTTGTTCAAACTGTTGTGAAAAGATTAGATGCAGGTCGCAGAGGGGAAAAATCTGTTTTGGATCACTTCAGGCTGCAGTGTGAATGGAGCCTAAGTGGCACAGATCGGATTGTTCTGGGAAGGCAAAAGGATTGAATTGAGCCATTCAGACCGCTGTGAAAAGGCCAGCTGCATGAGGGAAAACGGATTTGGGTTGCATCTGCTTGCTGTGTGTATGTAGCTCCCAGCAACCCGGACCAGGCCTGTTCCTTCCTCCTTATCTGCCTTCCTTTTCCACCAGAAACATTTGCAAGCTAGAGAAAGTTACTCTGCTGTGCCGCCAGCAGCCACTCAGCGGGAAGCGACTCTTTGTTTTTCAACCTTTCCACCTGTTGTGTGTTTTTGGACAGGGTTATAAAGTGACATTCAGCTCAACACCAGCAGGTTAAAAATGCATCAGCTGGTCACATGTTGACTGAAGTCATGCTTTTTTATTATTTACAGTTCCATCTTCCAGCGCAGGGTTTGTTCTGATGTGCAGTTTGAAAAATAGTAATTCAGGAGTTGAAGATTATGTCCAACTTATTGATGTTTCCTCAGATCACTTTGGTAGAGGTCAGTTAGCTCAATGAAGACGGCATCTAAAAGCAACATGCTGATGTCTAAGTTTGCCAGGAAAACTTCTCGTGGTTTTACGTCAGTACTTTGTCTGTTTTTATGTTTGGGATGTACTTTGGCAAAATGCAACTTTAATCTCTACTTTTAGTGGATCATCAGGATCCACTGGATGAAAGAAACTGCACCAAAGTTTAGTTAATATGCTGCTAATAGTTTTACGTGCACAAAAAATATTTGTACATTAAATAAAGTTAAAATGTCGAGAGTTTCACAGAAAGCAGAGCGCGGCTGATGTCACGGTTGTTCAACTGAGAAGCGAAACCACAAAAAACAATCTGTGTTAAAAAGCTCAGGTGACCACTCTTATGTGTGCAGGGGGTTAAAGGTCTGCTTATTCATTTTTAGCTAAATTCACTGCATACAAGCACTTAATTTAAGAGGCCGAGACGCCAAAGAAACTAAAGTTAACTGACCAGTAACGTTCAGGTTTAGGACGTACATATGCTCAGATGTGGGTCACGTACAAAATGTTAAGACACAAGACAATTTAAAAACAAAATCTTTCCACAATTTTGTTAATTGTAAAGGGTGGAAATGATCAAATTCAGTGACTATAATATTTTTTTATCCGAAGGGAAATTTTAAAGTGCGTACAGCTGTGAAGATGACGGCTCTGATCAATCTAAGGAGAACGACCTGCTCATCATGTCCCAGCAGGTCTCTGGCACCGAGTCCCTCCGTTGGGGACGTTCTCCAGCAGAACCAAAGCTGCCGTCATTACGACGCCTTGAGCAGATTCATCAGTCCTGTCCAACCTGCAGTTGATCTGCTGATCGTTTTATTTTTCAGTCAGAACAAAAGTGACCCACATACAACATGCATTTCGTGAGCTTCAGAGCGCAGGCCGATGAACCGTTACATCAGGAACAAATGACTTGCATTTGACTCAGGTGTTTGTATGTATCTAGGTTTTCTGATCTTTTTTTTTTTAAATGTTGACTTGTGTCTAAAATACGGCATTTTTCTGCGTTTGCTCGCTTTATGCATGAGTGGCCTGATTTTTGAGCCCGTCGCCTCTCTCGCCTCCTGCTCCCCTCAGATGGTGAGTCTGCTGCTGATCGGGGTGGCTGCCTGGGGGAAATGGTTCGGCCTGGTCTCCAGCATCAGCGTGGTGGCGGCGGTCATCGGAGTGGGCGTCTTCCTGCTGCTGGTGGCCTTCGTGGGGCTTTGCGGCGCCCTGAAGCACCAGCAGGTCCTGCTCTTCTTCGTATCCTTTAAGACGGGTCCGGTCCACAGTTCATCTCCTCACCTTTCAGGATGTCAGAGTTCCTCAACCTCCACCAGTACATGATGATCCTGTTTGTAGTGTTTGTGCTGCAGTTCTCCATCTCCTGCGCTTGTCTGGCTCTCAACACGGACCAACAGGTCGGTCCGTTTCTCTGGTGAATTAAACGTTTAGTTGTGAGATGATGATTTAAAGTTTTTACATGTGTGATTTTACAAATGGCAGAAACTGGACTTTGTTCTATGGTACAAACTAATCCGATTAATCGTGATGATTTAATTAAGTGGAGCAGAAAGGTCTGAGGTTTCACATGTTGCTGGTATTTTTTGTGCAGATGAATCCTTTGCTTCAAATGATCCAATGATCACTATTTGAATGCTGTTGCTGCATTTTAGACAATAAGATATTTTTCTTATTTTAAAAACAGTTATTTGTTGTTCATCTTAATTTATTTAATGCTGTATTAAAAACAACTTAAATGGTTAAATGACAAATCTGCAGAATGTGGCCGTTTTGTTTAATCTTCAGAATAATCGACTTACTAGAAATAATCGTATATCAGTGATCCAGACGTCTGAGGAAGGAGAATCCAGGTTGTTGGTGACCAGAGCCTTCAGCCGGGTTCTGATGGTTTGGGTCATTTCCTCACCTGTCAGCAGCGATGCGGCTTTTAGAGCAACACCTGCTGCCTTCCGGTCCAAAATCCTCTCCAGGTTTTTCATCAAAAGATGGAAAACAGTCCTGGCTGAGGAACAGGACGGTTCGGTCGGGTTCTGACAGACGACGTTGGGTCATGTAGAACCGAACTGGGCGACGACCCGTTCCAGGACAGAATGATGGCAGCAGCTGTTGCTCCTCATGTCTGTGTGAAAACAAATGCATTTCATAAAGATCATAACTGTATGACGGAGTACTATGACCATCCTAAGAAATTAAAATAACTTTACGAGAATAAAGTTATATAATGACAAAGTGGTTTTAAGAATAGTCTATTCTGGTAATATTACAGCTTCTTGTAATATTTTATATTCTTGTAATATTACCTTATTCTCAAATGATTTTGATTTAATTCTGTACGATTTCTCCTGTTTTAACTTTTGACCCAGTTTTAATCGGCCCTAAAGCTGCACTAGAATCGTTTTTTCAGACGGCTGAAAAAGTCCGAGTTGCATTTGGGTAAAACTGAAGAGGATTTGGGTTTCAGCCTTTGACTCTAAGTTGGTTCCTGTCCAGAACCATCTGCTGGAGGTCGGCTGGAACAAGTCCGAGGTGACTCGGGAAGACGTGGAGAAAACTCTGGACTGCTGCGGCTTCTCTTCTGTTAACCAAACCGGCTCCTGCCCCGCTGTGAGTCAAACCGCTTCCTCCTCCTCCCCTCTGCTGGAACTCGATGTGTTTTCTCTGACTCTGTCCTGCTGTTGTTCAGCGATGCTTCGCCACCCCGCAGTCCTGCAACAGCTGCTCACAGATCCTGCAGCAGTACGCCGGTGACGTGCTGCGCTTCGTGGGCGGCATCGGCCTCTTCTTCAGCTTCACCGAGGTCAGTAGGTCCGTCGGTCCGGTCAGCTGATCGATGCGCCTGCAGCCTCGATGCCTCCACTCGGGGTGAAGCACATTTAAAAGCTCTTCCCGTTTGTTCCAGATTCTTGGCGTGTGGCTGACCCATAAGTACAGGAACCTGAAGGACCCGCGATCGAACCCTGGAGCCTTTCTGTAGCCACTCCGACTGAAATGAACCCAACATGCACTGCTGCGATTCCTGTCTGGAAATGTTCGTCTAAATGTGCAGCAATGGCTGTTTAATTTGATTTACTGCAGGATCTGTTGCATCCATCTGATCAGTGGCCTCTGCTCTTCTGTGTGTTTACCTGTATAATATGTCACCATCAGTCTCTATTTAAGCTCTTCGTTGTTTTTCCTGTTGGAGTTTAAAGTGGAAATGAAGTTTGATGCACACCGTCCCTCTGGTTGAAAAGAAAACTAATTCCTCTGAAAGCAGTGAAATCTATTTTCTCTGCAGGTTTTTAAAGTGATTTGTTGTTTAAAACTGTGAAGGAATAAATGAAGAACTAAAGATCTGTTTGTTTTACTGCTGGAGGCTTTAAGGTCGAGGTTCTCAGTTTGCCTCTTGAGTCATTAATTGGGAAAAAATAAAATGTTATTTGCAAAAGATTTAAAAAGCCACTTTGCTTCACATTTTTTTCCTCTTTTTTTCCAGTTAAATTTTCACTCTGACGTTTTCACCTCAGAGAAACGATTAGTAAACAAATGAGCTCAGAGTTATGGTAAGTACATTTTTTATGAAATAAAACTGAAGCAAATGTTTGTGGATCCCAAAGTTGGGATCGTGATCATTGATTAAAATCCAGAACTGATGAACTGCATCTCCCCCCAAAGTAAATGGATAAAATATGAAAGTTTTTTTTGTTTTGGACAGGGATCATAACTTGCATATTTCTCAATGTCTGATTTGCTTGAATAAAAGGCTGAAACAGCTGCAGCATTCACCTCCACCTTTCAGAAATCGCCATGGAGACCGAATCACCATGGAGACCGGGACCCACACAGGTTCTGTTTGCTCCATTAGGCCGCACCGGGCCTCTAAGCGGGACTGCAGCAGTTTTCCAGGGATCTGGTGGAGCTGCAGGAGACGAGACCTGGGGATCCAGACCTGGGGATCCAGACCTGGGGATCCAGACCTGGGGATCCAACCCTGGGGATCCAGACCTGGGGATCCAGACCTGGGGATCCAGACCTGGGGATCCAGACCTGGGGATCAGCTTCAACCGGTTCTACCAGGAAGTGTAAACTTTAAACACTCCTTCTGCAAACAGCCGGACGAGTTACTGATCCGTCACAGGTTGGGACTGCAGCTACAGGAAAATGAGATTTGCTCACCTGTCCAGAGTTTCTGATAAAATACAACATCCCCATTAGTGCTGCTGATTATGCCAAGCTTTGTGGAGCATCTCTTCAGGAGTTTGTACTTTTTAAAGGTTTGAATCTCAGCCTTTCCTGTCCATAGTTTGGATTACTAACCAGATTAAAGAAGCTTTATATAAAATGATTCATAAAATCTATCCTAAGGTGAATATTTATTCTAGATTCAATAAAGAATTTGAACATGTTTAGTGACTCACATCCTGAAACTTCACCTGTTCTGCTGCTGTCCTCCTCTTAATGCTTTTTGGCAGAATATCTGTGACTTTATCCACATATAGAAGCACAATTTATGTTTCTATGGAAACGTCTTATTTGGCCTTACTGGATTCTTAACAAGTCAGACTTTCTCATAAATCTTTTATTGTTGCTGTCTAAATATGGTATTTGGTTTCCAAATACTCTGAAAGGATTTTACAATCCATTAAGGTTGAAAGTAACTAATTACTAGTTAAAGTTGTTCTGCTTTTAATGGATGTGCTGCTGGAACCATAAGCCTCTGTGTTTCTTGAGGCTTGCAAATGAAGCTGATCATGTCTGGCTTCATGACGCGGGTCGGGTTGGCAGGTTGCATTCCTGCAGCTGAGCAGGATGTTGGCTCCTGGGGCGGTCCAACCAGTTCACCAAGCCGCTCGGATCAGCTGCAGCGCTGCACTTCCTGAACTTTAACTCCACCTCTGTCTGCATCGACTAGTAAAACTACAGCATGCGAAAATAACCAAATGTTCTGCTGTCACCTCAGAAATATGTCCCAATAATCCTTTATTTTACATACATTTGATATACTTTTACATCTATTTTGTTTTAGAGTGTATGCCACGTTTAGTGACAATTTTATAAGAAGGTAAATTTAAAACCTGTAAAAAATAAAAATCTAGGGCTGTTAAACTTTAAAAAAAAAAATCACCTTAAGTAAAGATTTTGTGTCAGACATGAGTTTGTAACATTGACTTGAAGTGTTTTTAATGAAATAAATCTGAACGATTTAAAGGAGCAGTGACACATCTTGACTAAAGATTTCTTTATGAAAGCATAAAGGGCGAGAGGCCAAACAACCACGCACACAAACTGAAGGAGAATTTATAGCAGTGTTTGTTTCTCAACCTTTTTTGGGCCAGCGCCCCCCTGGCCTTTATCCAGGTCCCTCCCCCTTCCCCCCACCAAAGAATTTGCAGGCTACTTTACACTGACTATTATTTTATTATTAGTATTACTATCACTATTGTAGATGTTTTGATTTTTATGCTTGTTTCTCTACTTATCATCAAAAATAATTTCCCAGAGAACAAAAAAGCCATGGGAATAGAAATTATTTTCACGGGTGTTTACAAAAAATGCAATGAACATTCAAGTTAGTAGGCTTAACAGCAGCCAATCAGAGTGGAAAAAATATTCTTATTTTGTGCCATTTTCTTTGTTAAATCTTGCACAAAATGATCAGATAAAAGATGTACAACATGCCAGTTTAAACTTTGAACTATTTGCAAAATGACAGTGCTCTGCAACATTAAAACATGGATAGAACTGTAACTACATTAATCATAGCTCTTCTTGTAGGTTTCTGGTGGTGCAGCTATGTGCTGCCTTCAGGAGAATGGGACATCAGAGTATCATCCATAAAAATTCACCCACATGGCATTTAGTGTGCAAACCAGAGCTTTCAGTGGAAAAACTAAAGTTCCAGATCCTTTTAATGCCATACACATATGAGACAGAAACATGGATTATATCTTTA